TCTGGAAACATGTCTGATCTAACAAGAACCTGTATTTGTAATCTAGATCACATTTTTCATTACCTTTACTTGGTGTATGGCAATGGAAACACTTTAGGTTCACCATATAACACAACTCCACATAAATGACTTACCACAAATTAAGAACTATTACAGAAGAAAAATGTACCTGCACTGAAACAATGGAACATTCAATAAGACATTTCCCCCCTGTTTTTTATGCTTAAAATTGTATACTTTAAGAAATCATGGCATGCTACATAAAAGTTATTCAGTTTCTTTGTTTGGAATAACTGAAGACTGGCTGAGTTCTTTTGCAGAGATAACATTTATAATGCATATCAGAAGGTTTTACTGCAAGCAAGACATACACTTTAAGCAGCTTCTCTATCTTGTATACCACTTCTGTCTCTCTCTCTCTTTTTCCAAGGATCATTTAGTTGCTCCTAAATTTGGAAGCATTTTACAATAATTTACACGGTACATGTATGATAGCCTCCATTTAAAGACTGTCATGAGTGGAAAATTTCAACTGAGATTGTTCTGAAATCCCCATAATTTCTTCACAGCTTGGCCCAAGTTGAAGATTGAATGCCTGTGTTTCAAACATTTCAAAGTCACAGAGCTTTTTTTTTTAAAAAAAAAAAATATTTTGCTTGATGGTTCAGTGTCTGGTCATCCAGTCAGAGGATCAGAAATCCATATGGAAAAATACAGCTCAGTGCTACTATACTGGATCTTATGTTAGGAATGCTCACATGTGCAGCCTGGGAGTCTTTTCTTCCTTGATCAATTTCTTAAAATAGGATTCTTCATCAGTGGCTGAAAAGAGGAGGACTGTACTGAAGTATGATTTTTCCATTACTGCGACTTTTTTTTTTTTTCAAAGGAAAGAGACATTTTTATAAATCCCATGCAAAAAAGAACTACACAATTGGGTTAGGTTTATATTTAGAATTTCTCTATAGAATGTTAGTCCTTTTTATCCAAGAATGATAATTCTTAATAGATAATTTGTCAGAATGAAGTGTATGTATCACCATATTAAATTATTCAATTATATTTATACAAACAATATAATAATACAATATGAAACACTTTGTATTGTTTAAAATAAATATAATCTGGAATGTTTGGTGGAGAAAAATCCAAACTTTGTCTAATGAGATATATCAAAAGAAGAGTGAATTAAGCTGAAAATTATTAAATTAATCAGATAAAGGTCATTCTTTGCCAGTCTGCCTCGACACTCATCTGATTAAAGGGTACTACTGACTTCAAGAAAAAAAAGATGTTTGCTATTCTGCTCAATTAAAAGGAACCATTTTAAGTTTTATAACTTTATAATACTGAAAACCATGAATTAAGAAAATGAATACATGTTGCTTATTTCATTAAAACTCTTTCAGAGATTTATTTATTAAATAATAGTAACAGTAATACCAACAACAGCAGCAGTAACAGCTATGATCAACCAAAGATAAAATCTTTCCAGAGTTCTGTTGGTTATAAAGGAAGAATTAAGCACACAGTTTATTCTATGCATTGAAATTAACTGCACTGAAAATACTTCTTTTTTTTTTCTCCAAGATGACATTGTGGAAGAAACAGTGCTTACATAGGAGGGAAATTAGAAAGTTGCAAAGAGGGAAAGTTATTGGAAGCTGTTAGAGTAAGTAGAGTTAGAGTAAGAGTGAGGGTGAGAGTGAGAGTAGGATTATTAGGATGGATGAAGTTGTGGACCAGATATTGGCGGAATGAGGATGGAGAGCAGAGAACCTGTGACTGGAGAAGAAGTGATAGGTTCTAGCAGCAGTTCCTAGATCAGTGTTTCTCAACCTTGGCTGGGGAATTCTGCAAAGTCCATGCAGCTTAAAGTAGCCAAGGTTGAGAAACACTGGCCACTACTGAAATTTGAGAACGTGATTAAATGGCCGGTAACAACAGAGAGATCGGTGGAGTTCAGGCTGTGTTATGCCTCCATGAATCTATGCAGACAATGGGAGCCAGGTTGGACTTCTTGGACTGAGGTTGTTTGACTGAGTCCAGTGACTGCTGTGGCAGGACATATCCACTGCAGCAATTGTTATATGGTGGCCAGAGTTCTCGGGGCAAGGAAACATTTGGAAAATGCCTGCACAATTGCTGTTTGTGGTTTCTTGGGGGAGGTAGCTGATATTGAGGAACTGGTTCTGGAAATTTGATATGGAGTGCTTGAGCATCTTCTACAGGTAGAATCTAGCCATTTAGAAGACATTGAGAAAATTAGGAGGACAAGAAGGATGTATGGAAGAAGAGTAAAGAAGAAAAGGTGCATGGACTTCTGGACTGGGAGGTAGAAGAAGGACTGACCTCTGGGTGAGAGGTGGAGGAGTTGTAGAGAGGGCTCATGGAGTGAGAGTCCAGGAGTGAATACTCACTAAATCCCTTCTGAGCATTTTCAAGGGCTAAGATTTTGGTATGTAGGAGGTTGGGATCTGGGTGTAATTAGAGTTGGGTTGGAGGTGGAAGTTATTGAAAGTTGACCAGTACTCTTGGTGAACGAGTACTCTTTTTTGTCAAGTACACTCCCTGATGGGGTGAATTGATTTGGAAGAAGTGACCTGTAATATCAGAAGAGTAGTTAGATAGAAATGGAAGTGAAAAGTGGAAATGGAAGTGGAACGGATGGTAAAGGAGGGCCCTTATTGGCACATTCAGGGGGTGGGAAATACTGAACTAAAAGGGAATGAAGGAGAAGTGATAGAAATTAGGGTACTGATGAGTAAAGAGGAATATGATGGGGAAAAGGGGTGGGCCTCTCCCAGGAAAGGAGGATGGGCAGTTGAGTCCCTCCTCACTTCTGTTCCCCCTCCCCCAGTGCTCAAACTAGGAGACAGGTTATAATGTCCTTGAAAGCCTAGGATCCAGCTGCTGCTGTGGTTTAATGCCTGTAATAAATCTCTTCTTATCCTTGGTATTAGTATGGATGAAAGTGAATACCCGGCTTGTGTTATTGAGAATTGAATAGGGGAGACAGGGGTATATCTCTCCTGTAAATGTGGCCATCTGGTTTTGGAGTTTGGCATTAGCTGTGAGCCCAGGGCAGGGGAGGTGGATGGCAACTGTCAAGCAGGAAACTCTGCAGATAACTAGAGGCATTGCTCTGCAGTTAACTAGATATGTCACTTTGTTTTTGAAGTTGAGCTCTTGGGATAAGCTAGGAATTGCTGTTGTTATATTTCTTCCCTGCTTCATAGTAGCATCCCTGTCCAAGCTGTTGGACCTCATCTCAGCTTGTGGGTAGAGTTCCCTGAGTTAAACTTTAGGAAACTTTAATTTACATTTCTTGGGACAGGGAGGCAGAGGCAGCTCATGAATTTATGGCCTCTATGACCACCATGGGTTTATCCAAGGTCAGAAGGACCCAACTCATGCAGGAGACCACAAGTTAAATCTGTTTAAAAAAAAAAAAAATCTTGGAGCAGTTGCAGTGTTATATGAAGGTGGGAAACATTAACTTTAACACCTGCCCTTGTCAGGATCAGATAACTCTCTAATTGCCATGGACTTGACTGATGCTTCCACCTCCCTTCTATTTGATCAGCCTTTTGGGCAGTGATGAATGCTTTTTGGAAGAGAGGGCAGATGGGGGTATGTTTCCTCCTCAAGAAGCCATTGCTCAACCTCTTAAGGCTCATAATCTGGAACTCACAGCTCCTGTTTGAAGAGCAAGTGGCAGTTGTGGCTAAGAGGACTTTTGCATAGATTCATCTTGTGTGCTAGTTATGATCTTTCCTAAATTGGGAGGCTTTGTTCATGGTCACTCATGCCTTGATCGCCTTCTATTTGTTTACTGCAATGCACTTTGAAGACCACCTGGGAATTTCAGCTGGTCCAGAATGCAGTTTTGAGCTATTCTGGGTGTCAGGCTGTTTGCCCATGTAATACCTCTGTTTTGAAAGCTGCACTTGTTACCAGTTTGTTTCTCAGTGCAATTCAAGATGCTGATAGTTACCCTTAAAGCTGTTCATGTTTCAGCACCTGGATATCTATGGGACTACCTTCTGCCAATAGTCTCTGCCTATCCCTTGAATCCTGGAAGAAAAGGGTCTCTAGGGGACTGCTCCTTAAGGAATGCCATCTGCAGGGATCCTGGGGTTGGGTCTTCTTAGTTACTGTTCCCATTCTCTGAAACAGCATTCTCCCTGTTATAGATGGGCCCTGAGTAGCAGTTTGTAAAGCATAGAAGACCTATGGTTGAGGGACCTTTGGGGTTGTTTTTGTCCTCCCTGGACAGTAAATGCATGTTGTAGTTGTTCTTTGACATTCGGGTAATTTATAGTGTTCTATTGTTGTGTTCTTAATTTTTAATCTCATTAGTATTTGGAGCCCTGAAGTCTGCTCTGAGTAAGACATCATTGGAAAGGCATGTAAACCTAGTAAAATAAAGGAACAAAATAAAGAAACTTACAAAGGCTTAAGTTTGGCTAAATTGTAGTTGCTGAATTTTGTTTAGTAATCTATTTACAATAGAAAATAGCAGAAAATGATGAGAATCTGTGTTTTTCAATGTTGTACCCATTTAGAAAAATGGGTAACACTCTAAAATGACATAACTAGGTATTTGTTACTGAAGTCAGGAAATGTGCATTTTTGTGAATTCCCATTTGTTTTTTTACAATGCATACAAGTTTCCTTTAACAGTATCAATAATAAAAACAACAACATGGCAAAAATGAATGATGGTTCAGTTATAAGAAACAAAGTTTTCCCCCTTCTTTCAAAACTTTCTATTTTTTTTGGTAGTATATTGCATTTTACAGAGACTAATTGAAACACTGAATATAATGTTTTAAAAGGTAATCTCCAAAGCTGTCTAAATTACATGAAAATGTTTTATATTCATTTGACATAGTTAAAATCCTAAAGATTACTTCCTGAATTCTACAAAAGTGAGCATTTAGTGGATAATGAGGTAAATATTTTGCTTCCCTCAAAGACTAGAAAAATAAACTTACCATAATTGTAGTTACAATTACAGTTCTGTTCTCAAGAGCAGATGTGTCATTGCCCATTGTAGGCTCATGTTGAATCAAGACTAATTTATCCATGTCATTCCAGTAACCAATCTGTAATAAACAATTGCAAAAGCTAAGTTTCTATTCATTGCTGATGAGGTGAGCCATGATAGTTCATTCAAATGTAGTTTATACTTCTATTGGCACTGACACAGTCCCCCACTACACCATGCTTCATGGCAGCTGGCAGCAAAATAATTTGGACAGCAGTCGCCAAATACTTTTATGTCCTGGTCATCTTTTGGCCCAACTGAACTTGATGAATTATCCTTTTGCATGATGCAAAGAAGCAGATTTTACATAAGTGCAAATTCTGTCCTGACTATTAAAACATCCTTTAATCAGGCAACCTGCAAGGGTAATTTTAAATCGGTTATTGTAAACCTTGTTGGAATGGGGTAATATGATCCAACCCAGAATGGTTCTTACAATATTTCTTTTGGTACCCTTTGTACATCTACCTTTTGGAATTGTAGCTTTTGTAATATAGATCATCCAGGTATAAATTAGAACCCGAGAATCTGAAATGAAACTTTTATTGCTGTCCCTGTGGGAACTAAGCTATATTATATCCATTTTAATTCATACTGAGAGTCACTGTCTGGACTGCTTTGCTTCTGGTTTCGGGGGATACATAACTGACCTTTCGATACAGTATTCAATGCTTGATTTTCCATGATGGCTCCAATATCTGCCTGGGTTCTTCTAGTTTATTTCCTGTCCTTAATGATCCATTCCTGGAGCCTCTCCTCTCTTCACTGGATACCTAACCAACATTTTCAGGCACAGGGTTTTTCTCTTTCTCTTGTGCATTTTCATTTCCTTGAACATCTACAGAATTTCATTACTCTGTATGTCCAAGAGAGCTTCATTCCCTCTGAAGTGCCCAGAGGTATAAGCCTGTCCTCACAATGGGATAGAAATAAATAACAATATGGCCATTCTGGGTTGTTTATTTAACAGGTGGTTATTTCTCCAGTAACCATGATAAGAACCTAGGATTCCATAAAAGTGTTTATCAGGTGACTTTTCTCTCTTTTCTTTTATTTTCCTTAAGTACTCCTGCCTATGTTCTTATATTTTTGGGGATGCAGAAAAGGTTGAACAATGCTTAATTCCAAATCATATTTCTTTCTGTATTCTACATTCCCAAGTTTTTTTAAAATATTCTACAGAGATCATAAGTTCTACAAGTGGCTCAGCCTGTCACCCATCCTCATCACTACCTTTTTATCTCATTCTTGTTAGCCCATTTTTATCCCATTATTGGAACACATAATTTAAAACTTCATTCGAGATCAAGGCCTGGATATGACCCTGAGGTGGATATAATCCAGGATATTCTGTTTCTGCTATATTTTTATTATTTTTTAAATTTTTATTTGTTTTTTATATTGTGTATTTTATGTATTTTATTTGTTTTATTGTAAGCTGCCAACAGTCATGTAAAAGTGAGATGGGTGGCTATATAAACTGAATGAATGAATGAATAAATAAATAAATAAAGTACACTTGGCCACCAGCAATATCAATACAAAATAAATATAAAGTAAAAAAGAGAGTGAATGCTTTATAAAGAATGGTTGGTCTACAAAGAAATAAAAAGTAATCAGAATTGAAGGTAAATGTTGAAGAGATTTCCCAACCTGCTGTCTTCTATCATTCTCAACCAATCATTGATAGGACTTTCCAGTCTTATAAAAATTAGAAATCCTACAATACTCAGTCACCAAAGGGTACATGGAAAAAGCTGTTCTAATCATATATAAATTAATAAATAATAATCATTAAAGTCAATGAAAGTCAGAATAGAAAGATAGACATGAGGCCAGAGAAAGTGGTTGTTAGAAGTACAGACACAAGTGTCTGCCTTCTAAGAGTTAGTTCTGATTTACTCAAATAAGCTATCAGCCCCACTAGGTAGATTAGACCATGAAATCAACTCCACAGGAAGGCTAAAACTACTGGAGGTTGTCTATAATAACACGATCTTGCAAGTCTGATGGTACTGTACCTCCTCCTCCTCCTCCTCCTTATAGCTCAGTAAAATAGGAAGCTGCCCATCTCATCTGCTTCTAAATGTTACCTGGATGTTCTTAAAAATGCTTTAGTCCCTTTTGCCCAGGCAATGGATTTTGCATATCTCCATCAAGGTCATTTTCCTTACTTGCTATATAAGTTGAGTAATATGGACGCCATTAAAGAACTTAAGGTTGTCTCTTTTCTTCAGTAAGCTGAAAAACTGTACACTCAGTTTCATGTTTTACTGTTCAAATGCACAAATACATTTTCAAGAATTATTTGCAAAACTAATAACATGTTTGGTTATCATGTCATTAGTCACTGGATCAGAGATGTGAGACAAGAAAGCAATATCCTCTGAGATTCCTCACTAGCCATTTGGTAACCATTCAGCTTCAAATAGTCACATAGAAATATGTACAAGTACTCCTTACTTAACAACCACAATAGAGACCGTAAAATTGATCATTAAGTAGGGCAGTTGTTGAATGAGTCATCACATGACTGGACCCGATTTTATGACCATTTTTATGATGGTTGTTATGTGAATCACCATGGTCATTAAGTGAATCATGTGGTTGTTAAGCAAATCCAGTTTCCCCAATAGCCATTTTTGCTGAAATTCTCTGAATGACCAGATGATTCACTTAACAACCACATGACTCACTTAACCACCACAGGGATTCACTTAGTGACCATCGTAAACAAGGTCGCAAATCTTGATCATGTCGTCATGGGGGTGGTGTGACAGTTTGTGACAGTCATAAGTGAGAGTACAGGTCATAAAGCACTCTTTCCGAGGCCATCATAACTTCAAACTCTCGTTAAATGAATAGTCATTAAGCGAAGACTACCAGTATATTTGAAGAATATACATCTAGCATCATAGAGTTAGAAGGAGCCATTTAGACCATCAAGTCCAGTACCTCAACTGCTCTTCTGCAATAATGATGTATATTCTCTCTCTGCTTCTCTCTCTGAATATAATGTACATACTGTCATTTTAAAAAGTTTAATTTTAAAAAGTATATAATGGAGATCTGTGACACCCTGCTTCTCATCAGATAGCCAGAAATCCCAAAAGACACTTTGTTCTTGTTATCTAATATGTAGAAGCTGAGACTAAGAGATAGTTTAGTTTTGCAAAGGAAAATCTTTTTCATAGGAGAAGGGTGGATTGGCTGCTGAGCTGGCAGAAGGGAAGTCCTAAAAAGGGGAGTTATGGGAAGAATAGAGAACTCTGATGGAAAAGGTAATGGTTGGCAACATAAGTTGGATCTAGACCGCATTAGCTGTTGAAGCTGGTTGGTTTTAGTAAAAAGTAATGAGGGCTGGTGGCCTGAGTTGGACAGAACAGTGTTGCACTGCCGAAGTGTTGCAAGTCTGAGGAGAGGCCACGGCTCTTAGAAGAGGAGCAGGTCACCATCCAAATAAGAGTGTGGAAGGTTGGTGACCAGCACAGCTACTCAGAGCAGAGGGTTCTAGAGGTGAAGCAGAAGAGACAGAGTCAGAGGCTATGTTCTATGAGCCAAAGAAAGCTGTGCCGGTCTGAGAAAGAGAGAGAAAAACAATGCTGGCCAATCTACTTAGCCATTTCTTATCTCTAAATAGAGGCAGTTTTGGGAACAAAGCAGGGTGCATCTATATCAAACCAACATTATAGTATGCAGACATATACCATTAGAAAATATTTAAGCTGTGCAGTAGAGGGGAAAGTTCCTTTTACAATGCATTTTACATCTCAAGCCATGGCTTCATTCCTCCCTTGCTAATTGTCAGTTTAAACTGCCAGGAGAAGGTGGGAGAGGCCAGGCTCAAACTCTAGCTGTAAATAGCCTTGCTAACTCTTGCCAAGGAATGTGGTTGAAAAGGAAAGCAGATGCTATTTGTCTTCGCAGAAGAAGAAAGTTCTCAAGAGGTGTTTTGCACGGTGTCTTTCATTAAACTGGAGAACTCATTAGGGAAAGCTATGCATGAAAGTATTAACAAAACCAAAACCAAAAATACAATAACAGCTTTTTAAAGAACTGAACGATCTTAAAAGCTGAGATGGATTCAGATCGGCCCATGTATCTTTAGTATAGACTCACTTTATAATATTTATTGTACTGGGATTCCAGCTATTATACAGTACTATCTTCACTTAAAAATACTATCTGTTTCTAATCATAGTACTATGAAAATTTTAGTTTAAGGAACTGTAGGTGAAAAAATGCACCTTCTTCTGTGCAATGATCCAACAGGGAAAATAAAACAAAGAACAATCACTGTGTGTATGAAAAACAGTAGGTGTAAGCTGGGCAGGCAGATTGGGAAATTAATTGTAGAAATGAAGACATGAACCACTGGGAATGTTCCTTTAAAAGATACCCCCCCCCCCAAAAAAAAGGGTGACCAAAATATGTCTGTTTTCTCCTGTCCTTAAATGTTCTGATGCATGAGAAGAAAAGGAATGTCCTGAATTGATATTGCTGAAGGAATCATAAATCATAGTATACAACCATAGGAAGCAGGGATATTTCTTGGCAATAAAAGTAAAAGCCTATAACTTTGGGGGATTTTTTGTTTTTTTTCTGATGACCTATCCTTGATCAGAACATTGATGTCAGAAATGAAGTATTGGGCTTTGGAAGTCACAAATTCTAGATGGTTGATGCCTGACTTAAACTCTTACACCAGGCAACCATCAACAAAGTATGTAGCCAAATGGAAAAGGATTAACGTGTTTAGATTTTCTATTTTAAGTCACAAAAATAGAGCATCCAAGCATATTTGAAAAATAAGCAGGAAATTCAGTTTCCTGTGTTTCAGCAAGTCATAATCTCTGTGAGCACACAGTCAAGAGATTATGTCTCTCTTCTCTGATTGGATTACAAATGAAACTGGAGAGCAAATATTCTTATTCCTGGTCTGTTGTTCCAAAACCACATATTCAAAAAATAAAAAGTCAGTTCACTGAAACATTTGAACTCTCTTGAAGTGTTTATGTTTAATGAGGACAAGCTAACCAGCTATGTAACGACAGAATTTTACTTCCACCTTCCTTTCTTTTTCTTTGCACTTGTAACTCAAAGCTTGCTTTTTTTCCATTGTTATGAAAGCAAAAAGCACAGTAAACCAAGGGGTGTGCCCTTATGACAAAGAAAGATGCTGTGTCTTGTCATATGAAAAACTGCATGCTTATATTCTAAAAAAATTGATGATAAAATGATTGGCACTGCAAACGTAATTGAGTTTATTAGCTTTATTTAAACTGAGCTTTATTAACCACTTCTATAGTTGCACAGACACACACAGATGAACTAAACAAATAATACTGAACTAGAACACACCTTTCGAGGACCTGTGTTCTTCAGTTCAAATACATCCATCGAATAGTTGACTCTGCGACCATAATGGTCAAACTGAACATTTCCAGTAAGTCCTTGTATTCGAACCTTCAAATTGGAAATAAAATTAAAACATGGATTAGTGATAAAGAGCTTATTCATTGTAAGATACTGTATCATGTAGAAGTGAACCTGTTCCACAGGACTGTTAATTAAGAGACATTTTAACTGTTTACCCTGATTCATTTTTCTACCCCTAAAGCCTCTCCAAAGTGTGTTTTAATAAGGATCAAAGAGAAAAAGAGCTTAGCAATATGTGGGCACTTTTGATGTTTAAGACTTTGTTCTTCAACAAACCTTTATAAGGGCATATCTACCCCACCCCAACCTTAGAACCTGAGTTCAGAGTGAGCCCAAAGCAGCAGGTGAAAATTTCAGGTCTATATCAGGTTCTCTCTCTCTCTTTGAAATGTTGAGTGACAGGTAGTCAGTGCACAGCTAATGGATTATATGCAGCCAATTTTTAAAATCACTTTTAGACTGCTTCAGGATGAAAATTCAATAGCAAATTTCTGACACTACTCCCTACCTGTTTCTCTTAGGAAACTAAAGATTTAAGCAAAAAGAGCAAAATGAATAAAAAACTCTGCCCAAATATGTTTTTCAAAAAAGAAAAAAAAATCAGAAATGCTTCTCCAATTTTATAACACAATGGGATCATCATCTCACTGCTCTGCAGCACTCAGTTGTCCATAATATTTGACACTACAATACTTGATTTCTACATCATACTAGCTAATGATGTAAAGTAGGAAGGAAAAAAGAACAATGTGATGTTGGGACATGGGAAATGATAGGAAAATGAATGTTTTACAGTCTCATCAGTTTTTCTTTGCTCCTCTTTCCTCTTCCTAGTCCCAGCTATTTCTCTGTGAAAAGAGAACCTAAATAATCTCAGTCTGGATCTGGAAATTTCTATCTCTCTATATTCTTCAGGATATAGAGAGCCCTGTCATCAGCTGAAAAATGCCTCTGTTTTATTTCATTCTTAAATGGTATAATAAAGCAGAAAGATTTAGGGATTCTTTAGAATTGTGCGTTATATAAAGCCATGAAAGTTAAATAGACCTTCAGAGTGTCAGAAATGCATTTGGCATGCAGCATAACAAAAAGATAAAGTAATTCTTAGACAAAAATATAAACTTTTCATTTCCTTTTATCAACGTGATGTGAAATTAACTCAGATAAGTATTCTGCATTCATTTCTATTGGCAACAATTCACTTTTTTTTTACTCATAACTTTGGAAAAAGAAAAAATAACATGACTTCTATTCAATACGGAATGGATTAATATTGTCCACTTCAAGAAAATGTTATTTTATGTTTTTATTTAGTTGCTAGATTTATATCCCCCACTTCCTTGAGAAGTTCAAGGGGGTATACAAATCAAAGTCTCATTCAGTTTTTCCTTCATGAGAACTCCTCAAATAGCATGGGCTGAGGAGGCATAACTGGACCAGTCAAACAGTGAATTACTATAGCTGGGAGTGGATCTTCCCAATCTTAACCAAACAGCTGATGCGGAATAGAAATAGCCTAAGCCAAAGAAGAATGCTTTCATTCTCTACCCAAGCCAATTTAAACAAAAAGCCAAACCAACATACGGAGCAGAACTAACGTTCTTTGCACTCCAGTAAATTTTACTGAAGGACAAATGCAGAATGGACAGAGGCATCTGCAGGAACTGACCCTGTTGTCAAAAAGAGAAAGGCGGCATCATATAGTTGTGATTCACACACAAAAGGGTTGGAGCTTGTGCTGCATTGTTGTTTTGTCATTTGAGTCCCCCCACCCCCATGGACGGCAACTACATTTCATTCTGTTTGTATCAGTGGTGGAACTGTGTTCAGGCTGCTCATCTCCTAGCTTTAAAAACACAGGAGTTGAAAAAACATGGTGAAAAAGCATGTTGAATTGCCTTCCAAAACGCTGTTCTGAATAGCTTGTGCTTCCAAATTTCCTAGGTAGTTGCATATTGCAAAACATATGCAGATGAGGTGAAGGAGAGCACTGTTATCTGAGCTTCTTGAATGCTATTAATGAACAGCTATGTTCAAGAGCTGCACTGGCTCCCAGTAGGCTTTTGGTTACAATATAAAGTGCTGGTTGTCACTTTTAAAGTCCTACATGATATGGGGCTCAGTTAGTTGCAGGACTGCTTATCCCCAATGGTTTCTGCCCTTAATACTAGATCTGGCAGGCTGGTCATGCTCCGAGTCTCCTTGGTGAAACAGTGTCACCTAGTGGGACCTCAGAAGCACGGCTTCCCTGTCATGGCACCTGCCTTATGGAACAGTCTCCACCCAAGTCTCTTGGCCTTCAGAAGAATGGCGAAGACCTGGCTTTTCCCCCAGGCTCTGAGGCCAGGAAGTTGATGGAGCTGGCCCAGGTTGTTCGGTGGATGAATGTGAGTTTTATCGGAGCCTCAGAGTTGTTTATAGTTTTAAATGGTCTTTTTACTGTATCGTGTTTTAATTCTGTTTACCACCCAGACTTTCCTCTCATAGATGGGCAATTAATGAAATATAAAACAGTAATCCAATAACTATTTGGCAGTTTAGATGTTTGTGATATTTTCCAACATAGCAGCTGACACAAAAACCAACCAGATGTAAATTTTGCAAGAACCACACCTGTTTCAGTGTCCTCTCCATGTCAATTCCTTGGCTCCATGGTGCAGCTGGATTTGCAAGACAATCCCCAGCATTACCTCTTCGAGAAATATCTATTTTCTGCCTTCTAAGATTTCGGAAAGTCTCAGCCATCACAAGTACTCCATCATAAGTCAGAGCAGAGGTATACTAATCAGATGGAAAAATTGTACATCAATTATATTTAGTATTACAATTATGTTCCCAAATAAATCTATTAAACCTTTGATTCCTCAATTGACAAGGATTAGTGAATGCAAGCTGAGAAAGATTTCTTAGTAAACAAGGATTATAGGATTGCTGCATTCTTGGCACATTACTATACAGTTTAATTCTGAAGTGATATTGATCTAAAAGGCTGCAAAAAGTTACTTGAAAGAATTGCAAAAGGACTGGAATAAAATGGAAAGTTGGACTTCCCATGAAATGTACTTTTAGTCAGAGGAGAGTAGACTGAACGGGATAGCGTTAACCCTTTCAGGAAGGCAAAGCCAATAATAAGATTAATGACCTCTCCGTGAGAGCAGGAAACCCCCTCAAAGTTGCAATACTTGATTTTGGAAGTAGTAAAACTGTGATAGAAATTGCATAAACAACCAACTATAAACAGATAAAGAAACCCAGAATAATTATAAGAAAATGAGATATTTGGGAATTACTAATTAAATAGCCCATGGGGAACTACCCACACAATAACAAAACTCTTTTAAACTCAATCCAATAATGGAGACTAAAAAAGCTTCAACATCACTGGAAAGAATTGTTTGACTCATTCTCTGTTCATCAGAAGGACAGTTTGCAACAACCCCAACTTTCTTAGTGGAGTGGAGACAACCACAACAAGTTCAAAAGCAGTATTCTATTGAGGCTATTTGATGCTCAGTGGCATGAGATCTCTGCCTTTTATGCAGTAGGAGCTGCTATTTTTTGTTCACCTACTAAAGACCTTAAATAATCTTCAGATATCTAATTACGTTAATACTGTATTTTTCTCCAAAATGAACATGGTTATGACAATTGATAATATTCCACTAAGACCTGTGAAATGATTAATATTAATTTTGCATGGAATAGAGGCTGGATGTAGCACTACTTTTTTGATGAAGAATACAACTTTTTCCCTGACTGATGGATAGCTTATTTTATTATTTATTTTTAATATTTTAAATGAATTAATTAATATTTTACATTTGTATACCACCCATCTCGCAAAGTGACTCTGGGTGGCGTACATAGTAAAGCAAAATACATAAAAACTGTTAAAACCACAATTGAAATTAAAATAAGAAACAAGATAAAAAGAATGCTATATAGGTGGTGTTCCTTCAAGAAAAGTCCTATGAAGAATGAATCAGTTGCAATCATGGGGTGGGAGGTAATGGCTGAAGAACCAAGTTCATCCTGAGGTGAGAAAATGAGGCAACATCTGCAGTGAAAGAACTGAAGACCTGCTTTGAGGGTTCTCCAACTAACAAACAATTCTCCATTTATTCATCCTGAACTTTAACCTGCATTTTCAGGGTACTGGACATCATATCTTGTTCTAATATGACTGGAGAAAACTCTGGAACATAAGTTGCAACCCAACCGATGTACCCTTGAATGCTGATTATACCTTCAAGTAAATTTCTTTGGTAGCTAAGATGAAATAGAATTGATGTTAAAATGCTATTGGTAATCATTTTGATAGATTACTTTTCACTTGCTATGATTCAGCTTCCAAGTGAGGACTGAGATTATTCTGATCTGGATGGAGCACCAGTCCCTGTAACAAGCCTTAGAATGATTATCAAAGACATCCTTTGCTACAGTCCATTACATCTACAACCAGAAGAACTAAGGCTAATATTACCACCAAAATTACATTTGTCTTGGTGCTCTCAGTTTGATCAACAGCATGATAAAGAGCCCCAGACTGGGGAAAACAAAATATGGATGCCAGGGCAGGAGGAGGGGTGGCTGTTGTCATCCAACAATCTCTGGTGGCCTTCAGGGGCATTGCTCGACAAGTCTCCGGCTGTGAGACACTGTTCTTTAGGTTGGGTTCCTGCAAACAGTTGGGACTGCTGCTACTGTACCAGCCTCCCTGCTGCATGGCAGCCTCCCTGCCCGAGCTGCTGGAGGCCATCTCGGGGCTGGTGGTGGAGTTCCGCAGGCTTATGGTTCTGCGGGACTTCAACCTGCTGTCCCTGGGACAGTCCTTGGAGGTAGCTCAGGAGTTCATGGCAGCCATGGGACTGTGGACAGGATCGCGCCTATGTGACCTCTCTTGCCACATTCCCCGTGGTTTACAGAGGAGTTGAGGGTTCTGAAGAGGGTCAAGAGATGTCTAGAGCGCCGCTGGAGGAAAACAAAGACTGAATCTGACTGAACACAGGTTAGAGCCGTTATCAAGGCCTACACTGTGGCAATAAGAGTGGCGAAGCGCCAATGCTTCTCCGCCCTTATCATGCAGAGTGCCGCCCGGTGGCCCTGTTTGGGATCACTAGATCCCTCCTTGGTAAGGGAGATCTGGTGATTCATTTGCAGGGCCATGTGGAGGAATTTTCAAAACATCTGCAGGACAAAATCGCTCGGATTTGTTCCAAGTTAGATTCCAAGTGTGGGGCAGGGTCTGGGGAGATACCAGGGGATCGTTCTTACCCAGTTATCTGGGAACGGTTTCATCCTGTTGTTCCTGAGGAAGTGGACAGGATCCTCTGGACTGTGAAGGCCACCACTTGCCATCTGGACCCATGCCCCTCCTGGCTGGTGAAAGCAGTTCAGGAGGTGACATGTGATTGGATCCAGGCGATAGTTAATACATCCTTGCAGGAAGGAGTGTTTCCAGCTGCCTTTAAAGAGGCGTTGGTGCACCCCCTCCTCAAGAAACCCTCCCTGGATCCCACCGTACTGGACAATTTCCATCCAGTCTCTCACCTCCCCTTTTTGGGGAAGCTGGTTGAGAAAGTGGTGGCATCACAGCTCCAAAGGGTTCTGGAGGAAACAAATTATCTGGACCCCTTCCAGTCAGGTTTCAGGCCC